ATATATATGTATATTTGTACATTATCACTTATTATCTCTTATTATCTCTTATTGCTTGATGGTTGACTTTAACGGAGTTAGCATTTCAGAGGGTAAATTAAAAACAAATGCCAATTATCGTCTTTACTCTATCATTAACTACATTATTGCTCCGGAACATAATATTTTATGGTTTTCCATAAACTCATAGTGACGAAATATATGTTTATTTTATGTGTCAACAAAGATTGTTTCTGCTCTTATTCCATTTAGTTTGATCCCTTTTTTTAAGTTTATTATTTATTTATTTTTTTTAATTATTTATTTATTCATTTTGTTAAACTATACTTCACTTCTTCCTTGACTTCTTCCTCCTCTTACTCGCCTTCCCCCTTTCTCTTTACTGCTCCTTCTCTTCTCCCTCTCCTCTCCTTTTTCTCTTATCCATCTCCTCCCTTCCTCCTCCTTACCTTTCTCTCCTCCCTCCCCTTCCCCCTCCTTCTCCTCTACATCCCCTTCTACCTTTAACCTTCTGTGATGCCGGCAATTATTACTATATTACAGGCCGGGTACTTGTCGACCAGATTTGCGAAACTTTCGCTGGAAAAGGAACGCGCTTTATTAGAATAATGAACGTCTTCATTTCATTATACATTAGCATTGTCATTACTGTTAAACTTATTATCATTAACATTATCATTATCGTTATTATCATTATCATTATCATTTTAATCATTATCACTATTGTTATTACTTTCTTTATTATAATTTGTATTGAATTTTATTATTATTATTTTTGTTATTGTTATTATCGTTATTATCATTATAACTATTATTATCAGGTATCAGCGTTGGACTTGGTACAGCGATACGGGTAATTTGGCCAAGGAGATCAACCAAATCCTTGTTGGCAATCGCTGGGGGATCCTCCAGAGCTGCAGGATGTATAAGTGTCACGTTCTGTGGAACTGAACACCTAAGGATTTTTCATGTAGACAGATTGAGTGATGGGGAGTGTGTCCGGGGGATTGTTGAAGTTATCTCTGGTCGTTTCACAACACTTGGGGGCCTGGTGGATCTTGTTCTTCTGTGGGATACCTTCAGACATGAAACGCTTGATGGTGTCCCACAGAAGCCCAGGAATCGACAGAATTTCATCTCACAGGAGACACTAGAAACCACAGACGCTTGTTGTGCAGCTCGACTGTCAGGGGATCTCGACTTACATCGTTCCCTGGTGTGCAGGACAAAGTCACTGCTGAGAAGAGACAAGGTACAGCGTATCAGGAATCTTGCATAGGAGGTCGAAAACCATTTCTTAGTAAATGACCTTCATCCTGCCTACCGAGCCCTGAGAAAGCTGAACTCTAAGCTCTCCTCACACGACTGCAGTCTCTTCAGCAAGTGGCCTGATAATCTCAGATCCTATTGGGGTGTGGGTGTGATGGGCTGAGTATTTTGAACAGTTGTACCAGGTTGATCCACCAGCATCTAACTTGTATTCGGGTAGTGTCGAGATTCCTTTGCCAGACCCATCCACCAGCGAGGATCCACCCTCCCTGTCTGAAGTCAGTGGGGTGATCTCCAAGCTGAAGAGTGGTAAAGCGGCGGGTATCTGTGGCATCCCAGCTAAACTGTTAAAGGCTGGTGGAGGACCTATGGCAAGGGGCTCGCATACTGTCCTGTCTGCTATCTATAACAGACTGGTACCATCCCCCTGACCTGCTGAGGGTTGTGGCCATCCCTCTCTGGAAGGGGAAAAGGCATCGGTGGGACTGCAATCACTTAGGCATTACACTACTCAGTATACTAGGCAAGGTTCTTGCTCACATCATTCTGAGACATTTCAGAGACCACTTGCTGAGGCACCAGAGGCCAGAAAAATCTGGGTTCACGCCTGGTAAATCCACAATAGACCATATTCGAACCATTGCAGAGCGCCGTAGTGAGTTCGGACATGGGCTGCTTCCAGCTTACATCAACCTCAAGAAAGCGTTTGATACTTGAATCGCACTGGGAGATCATGAGAGGAAGAGGAATTCCGACACGGATTATTGGATTAATAGCAAGCCTGTATGCTGGTACTGAAAGTGCTGCATAGTGTGGTAGGGACCTGTCTAACTTTAACCTTGTTAATTCAGGAGTGAGGCGAGACTATGTTCTTGCATCAAGACTTTTCAACATAGATACCACCCGCATTCCCGCTCAAACCACGACACTCACCTACTCGCATACCTACTCAGACCCACGCCTACTTACGGGCATATCCAGTAGCCGCAGCAGTCGGTGGTTGGGATATTATTCCACTTGCAGTAAAGCGAGAGCGGACATTTGGGGCACTGGATGACCGTTTCGGAAGTGGCCCCGCCCGGCAGGCACGTCACGACCACGCACGAGTTGGTCGCGGAAATCCACGTCTCGCCGATTGCATGTCGGATTCCGCTCTTGTCCACGCACAGTCTGGGTATGAGGGGAGGGGAGGGGGGGGTAAGTAGTCAGTAGTACGGAGTAAGTGGTTAGT